AATATGTTTTATTTGTTTTATAAGCTTTATTGATATATAATTAATAACAAAAAGTATGCCTATTTAAGCTACACAGTGTGATGCTTTGATTCATGAATGTACACATTGGATGATTCTGGCTTACCAATACAAATGCCAGTAGTGTATCTTGCTAGAACCAACGCAGGGCTATTGAGGTAGGGTACAGTCATTTGTGTCTGCAATGATTGCCTCCTTTATACTAATCTGTCTCAATCTGATTTTGTTTTTAGCATTAATATTTACTTGGAGTTTTTCTTTTCCTGGCTGACGATTGGCACATATTATTTCAGAATTTATTTTCCCCTTAAATTTGCTGCTCATGTTGTAGAGTAGACTTTGGGACCAGGTTACCAATATGATGCTATCTATCATAGATCTTTATCTTATGGCAGAGTAAGAGGTACAGTGTCGTATAGTTAAAGTCATGGACTTGATCAAATCAGTCTGATTTGAGTCCTATCAGTATTATGAAGCAATTGTATGAGTTGGTGGCAAAATGAATTATGCTGTACCTGTTTCCTTATCTGAAATAATACCTAGCGCCAGGGCTGCCATGCACTGTGGGAGCCACCTGTGCACTAAGGTCCTGCCTAATTCAGTTAGGCTAGAAGAATTAAACAAGATAATATGTGCACAATATTTAGCACAATGACTGGAACATATTAATGTCCAGTGAAAATTAACTACTGTTCATTAAGAAGCTATAATTGTAAAAAATGAATTCGTGTACATTTCCTCTTATTTATAAGTTTACGCATTTCTATTTTGTTTTAAAAAAAAAGACAAACTATGTGTCCCTGAAATTAATATGAGTAGAAAGCAAGACATATTTTTCTTAATTTTCTGGGCTTCAAAATTTATTTTTGAAATATGCAGGAAATATACAAAAACAAATCAAAGAAAAACAAAACAAAAAACTAAATTCCCCTAAAAATTTTTAAATGAACAACGCTTCCTCCCCAACAAACTTAGTTTTTTTGATTAATGCTATTGCATAGGAGTCCCAAATAAATTTACTCTTATTAAGGCCTCTGTTCTGTGACCATCCAGCATTTCCATTAGAAATATTTTCCATCAGTTTTGTGACCCTGAAGCTTATAGAGGTTTATTTTTTCTTCCTCTTTTATATCCAGGAGCAAGGCTATTTAGAATGGGTTAGTTGATTAGACCATCTGACTCGGAAAATGGGACAGCCATGAATTTGGCTGAAGATTCAGAAACATGGCTAGAGGACGATGATTATTACCAGACTTCAGATGTCAGCAAACACTTCAGGGTTGTAGGAGAAAGAAAATAAAATACATAAGGCTTAATAGCTTTTGCTATGTGGGTCTTTGGGGCAGGTTGGATGGAGTTATTTGCTGAGCCCATGATAGTCTTTTTGTTACTTGTCCAGCTAGATTAATCGAAGCCTGTTACTTACTCTATCTGATAAAATAGAAAAGAGCTAATAGCTACTCCCCAGTACATGGAGAAAATATAGGTGTCTGTGGTTCAGTTAGAGTCTGAATGCAGAGACCTCATCAGCTTAGCTTGGGATTATAGCAAGTATTACAAATAGGCCAAGTTGAAGGAGCTTGGTGTGAGACATTTAGACCCCGTCACAGAGTCTGGGCTGGAATTTGTTGTGCAGGATGTTGACTGGGGAGTTCCTTTGGATCCATACCAGTGGGAGGAAAGAGAAGGATTAGAAATTGGGCAGAGGGAGAAGTTGAGCTGAGATGCAGGCCTGACAGTGGCCTTGGTCAAACCTGCGGTAAGGTCTGGCACTAAAATGGCCCATCAGAGTTGTCTCATGTGAGGCTGTAGTAGCCAGTGCCTTCATACTTATTAGTCATTGGACCACTCTCTAGATAATGGGACTCCTGGAAAAGTGAGGCAGGCCTTGATGAGGCTATAATTGGAGGTTGCCTCTCCACTGAACTGCCAGCAGCTGGGGTGACATATCTTTCCTTGAAGATACATCACCCTGTCTGTGCTTCTCCTCCAATTTTATCATAACATATGGGATCCAACCCCACTTGTAGAAGCATACCCAGACACCCACTCTGTCTCCAATTCTCCCAAATAAAGTCTAAAGTAACTCACTAGCCCCCAATTATCTACATCACCAAACCAACACAAAACCATAGATCTTATACTAAGTCTACAAGATGGGTACTGTTTCTTCCAAGCAGGAGTTATAAAGAAGGCTTATAGCCCTGATCACTCCACCAGGCTATAGAGGTACTAATAACTATTTGGCAATGCCAGTGGGATATCCAAAAGGTACCTCAAAATAAATATGCTAAAAAAATGAAATATCATTTTTTCTTTCCTCTCAAGACCAAGTCTGTTTTCTGCTCTAAATGTATTAAGGCATCCATACTCCAGTTCTGAAGTCTGGGAATTGTTCTTGATTCTCTCATTTCTCCTGGAGTCCCTAAGTCTTCAGATTTTACTTCAGAAATGCCTTTTAAATTCAGTTCTCCCTCATCCTTCACCACTGTTGTCCTAATATAGACCCTAGTTATCTTTTTGTAATTTTCATTTTTAATTTTAATTTATTTTTAAGGATACATAAAAGCATAAAAGTTCTAAGCAACTCTGCAGGACCCTGTCTCTAACTAAAATATTTAAATCTTGAGGCTGGGAATGTGGCTTATTGGTTAAGAATGCCCCTCATTCTTCAGTACCAAAAAAACCCACATTAAAGTTGAATATATTAATGGGTTAATCATCCTGAACATACCCATAACTCTCCCTGTCCCTACCTTCCTTCCCCTTCTGGTAACTTCTACTTTCTGTCTCTCTGAATCTACCTATTGTAGGTACCTCATATAATTGGAATCATTTGATATTTATCCCTTTGTGTCTGGATTATTTCAGTAAGCATGTGTTTAAGATGCATCTATGTTGCAATATATATCAAAATTTCACTCATTTGTATGAGGACTACTGTGTGTATATACCATATTTTGTTTGACCATTCATGCATTGATATACTCTTCTCTTTATTTCCAGTGATCCTGCAAAAACCTCATAAATTTTCATCCCTTGGCAGTTTCTGATTGTATAATTTATTTTCTCTATATTGCCAGAATAATGTTACTAAATCAAATAAGATGCTACTTGTATATATTCCTTCTCTGTACCCTCCCTGACACTGTCCCATTCTTGCTACACCATGTCACCCAGTTTATGGTGGCATTCAGTGTCTTCAGTATCACTTCTTCCTCATCCCCAGGCTTGCCTGCTTTATACTGCCCTGTTCCCTATGCACCTGCCTCACCAACTACCTCACTGACCTCCCAATGTCATGCTCTTTTGCTTACTTGTTTTGCTTCATACATTTTTGTTTTGTAGTGCTTTTGTGGGGGTGGAGTTAAATTTTGAAATTCATGATAAATGTCTTTTCCCATGAAGTCTTCCCCAATCCCCCCAGTTAATTCTTTGCTCTTTTCTTTATTTTCCCAAAATGTTTTTGTTCCTTCCTTTAATTTCACTCTTTATTGCAATTCTCTGCAATTATCTTGCTTACTTGCCTACCTTTTTATATGACCTATGTTTGAGCTGTAGATTTATTTTTAATATTTATTCAATAAGTCTAGTCAAGAGCAGCATTCCACAAGAAATCTGCATAAATAGGGGCAAGGCTGAATGTGGCATCAGAAGTCTGAATTCAAGGACCAATTTGGCCATTAAGTGGCAGGACTAGGACACAGCTCTTCATCTCTGTGAGTTTGTTTCTCCATTTGTAAATGACTTGCCATCCTAGAGTGGTGTTGAGGACTAATGAGATGATGGATGTGGAGACATCTTTATACAGTAATTGTGAGGCTGTTTTTAAATACCAGTTTTATTAGTCTTCTATAGGGAGTTTTCACCTTTGTGAATTATTCCTTTAAGAAGAAATCACAAATAATGAGAATGTAATATTGAAGCAAATGATTCATTTGAGTTATCTTCATATTGTTCAGTTTGTATAAGTGGTTGGAAACTGCAGGGATGCAGTGTCTAGTTGGGGAAAGAACTTTTCAGTTGTTCCTGTGGTTCAGTGATGGGCACTCTGTCTTGGGAGGTCGTCAGTTCCCCATCATAGGCAGTGTGCAAGCATAGGGCCAACTAACCTGCCTGCCAGAGGCTGATGAGAAAGTTTTGACTGGGGCCAAGGAGGAAATGAGGGCTGCACCAGCCTGCTTCTGGGGTTGTTCTCATATTGAACATTTGTATTTCTAAAATTTACATACAAACATACTGAGAGATGGACCAAAGCTTTTTTATTCTCTTCAGGAGATAAGGTATAAAGGTTGGTTTCTTCTTAAACTTTTTTAAATGAAATCTGTAGATGCAATATGAGATCACAGTAAAAAGCCTGACATTTCTACTTTGTGAATCAGTGCTAAAGCTGAGATTTGATTTTGAAATATGAAAGTAAACTGTAACTGCCTCAATTTAAGTCTCTAGGATTTATATTTATATATAACCTTTAAAATTCTTCCAACTTTTCACCCTGGAGGGGAAAAAAGAGAAATTATAGTCATCTTACTTACAGCTAGAATTCTAGAGAGACACTCGTTTTAGGTTAATGGAAAACTGACATTGCTTTTGCCTGAGCTTCCAGCAGTTTCCACCCGCCTCTGACTGATGCGAGCTCTCACACCCAGGGACATAGTTGTAAGTCTCATGTGTTAAATTGAGTACTTTTGTGATCCAAACTCAATTGCAAATCACTTTAAAATACATTTCTTCGTGGTATTTTAAAAACACTATTTGTTTTTAAACACTGTCCTTTCACAGTCCAAAGCTGCTTCTTAATGTTATTATTGCTCATGGCAAACCCATTTCAATTCTCAGAAAATGACTTTTCAGTGTTTTCTATTTGTGTTGTTGCCACTCAAGCTGGCATGTCAACCTACCCACCCACTCACTGCCCCAAGAAGACAAATGTGGAGTTGAATTCAAAGCATATGATGTCAATGTTAGAAGGGTCAAAACTCTGCATCCCACCCCTTTATTAAGGTTGAAGAAACTGAGGTATGGGAAGGGGTTACAAAGCATGTAGTAGCAAAATTAAGAATTCAAATTAGAATACAAGTCTTTGGTTCCTGCCTCATGCAGGGTCGTGAACTGGGGTGGGGACCCTGAAAGGTTGAAAAGAGGTGATATAACTCTGTGGTGACTGCCAACTGGTCCAATGGAAAGGCAGTTCCTTTCAAGTGGCTTGGTAAGGTAACTGGCATCATCCTGCAATCAAGTCACTGCCCTCACCACCACAGAGGGCCAAGGACTGCTGAAGTGCACATTGAACAGGCCTTATCCCTGAGCAGGTAGATACTGAGACATCAGCCTGAGAACAGCACCCCGATGGAAGGAGAGAGAGCGTGTTAAAGGTGGCAGTGTTGGAAAAGGGCCATGGGAGCACCAGAGTCAATGAGGCTGATGTGCTGCATTGGAGATTGGGGCAACTGAGGCACAAATGGGTGACATTGCCTCCAGATGCTCCTCAAATCCCTCTAAAGGCATTCTAATGTGGAGACCCAGGGCTTGGAACTCCAAAGCAGAAGAGGATGCCTTGTTTTTCCTTTACTTTGTGTTGTCCTTCAGGTCAGGTGTGGATGAGACTGGCCTCTCTACAAAAGGTGAGACACTTGCCTACCTCCTCTAGGAGTGATAGGAATTTAATGGGACCTCAGACCCGGGAGGGCCTTGTAACTCTAGTCTATAGAGATACTGTTCATCATTTATTCTTGGTTATGGTTAGGAATTAAAAGAGTCAAAATATTATGGAGTAAAGTTAACATTTATGAATCCACTCATTCACTGGACATTTCCTGAGCACTTCCTAAATGCCCTCACATCATGCAGTCCCTGGGTGAACACACTGACTCCCTAGGAAGAGCACCAGTCCATGGCACGGAGAAAAATATAACACGAACACGAGACTTACTATGGTGGAAAGAAATAGAGGGGAGCCTGTGAGACTCAGAGGAAGGACACAAAGCAAACTGGATAGCTGGGAGACCTCAGGAAAGGTCTGTTGGAAGAATGATTCCTGTCCTAGGAGATAGATGGCGTGGGGTAGGAGGTCAGGCGTGAATGTTCCAGGGAAAAGGAGCTACATGAAAAATGATGTTGGATAGGTGAAGGAAGGCTGGACAAGAACTGGGAAGCCCCTCTAAATAGTGAGAACATAATAGACACATTTATGAAGATAAAAATTGTTGCAAGAGTTGTATGCCATGGTAGGCCAAACCCAGGCCTGGTGATGAATAAGTGCTTCAAATGTCTGCTCTCTCCAGCCTCTCCAATGTCACACCTGGCTCGCATGCCACCTGTGAAACACCTTTCATCTTGAAAGGCCTGGGCAATTGTTGCTGACTCTCTGTATGACCTTAAGAAGTCCCATTCCTCCCAGAAGGCTTCAGTTTTCCCTTTCCATGAAATGTGGGGTTTTATTAGCTGGATAGGATGGATTGGAAAAGGAAAACTAGGAAAAAATGTAAAAGTCCAGGGGTGCTGAAATGAGCAGGGAAGAGATGATAAGGTTTAGCTGGCGCCAGCTTACCTTCCAGTCCCTGCACCAGCCACTCCCCACTCATTGATCCCATCATTCAATTCCCAAAGCTCTAAACACACCACACTGGAGACCAAGCCTTCCACACCTGCATCTTTGAGGGATGCTTCATATCTATACCATAACATGTGGCTTCTCTTAGGATGTAACTTTTGAGCTGAAATGTGAGGCACTAGTAGGAATTAACCAGGCACAGGGACAGCTGTCCTTCCTTCAGTTCTGTGCATTCAACAGCGTGCCTGTGGATCTGTGAGTCAGATGAGGTGGGTCTGGAGTCCAGCAGAGGCTCTGCATAATAAAGGAGGAGAACCAGAAACAGAAGGAGGGGGAGACATGAGAGAATTGCAGGGACAGGGACAGAGAGGACTGAGAACCCTCCTGCAGCAGGAGATTGGAGAAGAGGTGGAGGAGATCTCTGAGGAATCCTAGGGGGCTGCTAAGGAATGTTTAAAATTGGATGGTCCACGTTCAATTTTAGATTGTGCTTTTGTGGTCTATAGACCTTCCCCACGCAAACCTTCAGTATAAGCTGTTGTCCACAAATGACTTGCTTGAATGGTTTTGGGGGAAATCAGGGAAAAGCTGAGTTCTCAGGGTCAGTGAGGAACAGCGATCAGATATCTGAGAAGAAACCTCATGTCTCATAAGAGGTCCAAAGGTTGGGAGCCAAAATTTGGAGGCAGTAATTACAAGAGGTAGTCACAGACTTGGCTATGTCTGCACCTCGGAGACACAGGATTGTATTTGTATCTGGCATGATCAGAGATTGGTGTGCAGTGATGATCAAAGGCAGCACTGAAGAGGATCAGAGGAGAGTGGCGCAGCCCCTGCACGGGGGGAAGGTGGGTTCTTCTCATCTGGATACTGTCAGTGGCAGGGGCAGCAATCTCATTCTCGCCATCTGACACTCGGTTGTTTGGGTTCCTCTTTAAGTAGATGCCTCCCAACCTGTTGACTCCCCAAGTCTCTGCCTAGCCAGTGACAGCACAAAACCCACCAGACCTTGGAGGATTTATTAGGTCCATAAGCATTTATTGGCACCTGTTATTCTGGGTACAAAGTCACTTTGGGCATAGCCATTGGCCCCTGTCCTTGGAGTGCACCATCAAGGAGGGAGACATCACCAATCAGTGTGACCAGTTCCCAGATAGAAGCAGGTCCAGGGGTTGTGACAGTAGGAGGGCAATCTTGACTGGGGTGTTAGGGCAGTTTCCTGGAGAAGGGGCACTTAAGCAAGTCAGGTATTTTCCAGGCTAGACAGGCAAAGGGAGAGGGACAGAGGCTCACAGATGGTGGCTTCCGGGCTGTGTGCTGCCCCTGTGGGCTACCTCGAGATGCAGAGCAGCATCTCTTGATTCTCCTTGCTTTCAATACATCACCTGCCTCCAACTGGACTTTAAGTTCTCTGAAGCAGCCATGGAAACTGTGCAGGGTTAGGTTTGAGTGTAGGAGTGAGACGAATTGTGATAATGCCAAGACGGGTCCCTTCTCCAAGAGCTCCCTGTTCCAGAGCCATCTGTCGTCATGTTTAAATTCCACCCTCACCCCTCACTCCTTTGGATCTGACGGCCACAACTGTGGAGCCACCAATGGAAATATAAAGCCCTTCTCAGTAGACTCAGGTTTCAAATAGATTACCAGGGGTTGAGAATAGACAGAGACATAGGGGCTCTAGACGGGGAAAAGAAAAAAGTACGGTGAAGGGACACTTGACTTTTTGCAAATTTGTTGCTAGTACACCACTTGTATTTTCCACTTTTCTAACCTCAAGACTCACAGAAGATTCCAGAGTAGACTCAACAAGAGGGTGGAAATGTTGATTTTGAGGTAGGAATGTAAGACGGTGTAATGGAAAGAGAGCAAGAGTCCAGAAATGCCCTGAATCCTATCTGGCCCTGGGCAAACCCAGTGTTCTCTCTGGGCCTCTGTTTCCCACTTGCCAAGTATGGTTGGATTAGATGCTCTTCAGGGGTTCCTGTGGCTTCAGCTCTATGGCCTCCAGTTTGACAGCAGGTGAGAGGAGAGCCTGTCTCTGTGTTGAATCTGTCTTGGCCAAAGCCAGGTCTGTGAAGTTATGCAAAATAACCCCAGAGGAAGATGTTGATGGACAGTAGGAGGATGGCGTTGATGTTGCAGACGCTTCTCCACAATGGCTCCTCCTCAATGCTGGTCAGTTTCTGCTCTAGTGCAGCCTTGTCTGCTGGGCTCAGAGCTTGCTCAGGGACCCTGGAGAGCCCACAGAACCAGCTCCAGAGCAGCTTTCCCCAGGACCTGTGTGGGGCTGGGAGAAGAAGGCCAGAGGGGAAGGGGAGCAGGGTGGAGGGAGGCAAGCAAATGATGAGAGTGGGGGTGGGAGATGGTGAGAAGCTGAAGGAGTGGGTGGGTGCCCTAAAAGTGGGGAGGGGCCCTTTGTGCAAACCACAGGCTATGCTGAGTTGGGATCTCAGCTGAGCTCTGGCCTTGGCCACAACATCCATTCATGATGTTGAAGCATCTTTTTGCAGGGGGGTGGTGTGTTAAGGTGGGGAAACAACACAGTTCACCCCGAATCAGAGTGTGAGTCCAGAATGAGGTCAGAGGAAGAACATAATCTTCTAAAGGAAGGAGGAAGCATTTGAGCCAGACAGACTGCCGCCCCTGCTGTGAGGAAAGACAGACACAGGCACTGCACTGGAGGCCAGGAACTCTTGGCTCCAGGGCCAGCTCAGCCTCAGCAGATTGTGAGGCCTATACAGTCCACTCCAGTCCTCTGAGCTGCTGGTACTTTCTCCCCCAAATGCCTCAGTGACATATGCCCCGTTCTTGTAAGAGTAGTTTTGGGCATGGAATGAAAATGGAGATTTGGCAGCACTTAAAAAGTTACTAGAGCTGGTTAGGGAGAAGAGGCTCTGGGGAATATAATGTTGGAAATGCACAAGGCCCCCCTCCAGTGTGCAGAGGGCCCACTCAGAGACTAAAACTAGCACAGTTTATTTTTTAAAAAATCTAAGTTTAAAAGAAACAAAGAAAGTAAATTTTTTGAAAGTATACCACATAAAAGTAATATAAAAAGGCTTTCATGGAGATGGCAAAGAACACTGGGAATGAGCACTTCATTATCCAATGGCTTTGGGATGGGGTACTTGGAGAGTTTATCGTAACCACAGAGTGTCAGAGACACCAGGGGCCTGGATGCCATCTGGCCTGTCTCCTTCATTGTATAAAGGTGAAAAAGTGCTCAGGAAAGGGAAGAGACCTGTTTAAGGTCGCACAGCTGCAGAGCTACACTAAGAACAAGATGAATTCAACATTTTGATGGTGCTGGGCTTTTTACCAGTTGGCCCATATTCTCTCTCTTTGATTTTCTCTGTGGTCCCTGAGGTAGATGAAACACAGGGTTTCGTGTGTGAATTCACAGACCCAAAAAGTCCACTTCATCTAAGTAGTTACTAAACAGTGTGCAAAAATCAACCTGGGATGTATATACTTCTTTTAGATCAACTCACTGCCCTTTAAATTTCTATTTTCAACTCAAAATGATGCTGCCTGGCCTACACCTGCCCGTGGGCCTTTCTGCGGGGGCTGCTTCCTCCTGATTACTGATGTTTGTTTCTCTCCCAGGGAGTAGACTGCACACATTGCACAGCAGCAGGACCTTCCCTGCCCTTTCTCTCTTCCCCAGTGGCCTGTGTGGAGGCGCATGGGTTTCTCTCCTTGGATGTTGTGGCTGACTCAGAGCCTTCTCTTCCTCCTGTTGGAGTGGCCATCCACAGGGCATAGGCATTCATTCCTGTCTGCTCTCCAGAGATGCTCTGCCCTGGGCCTGGAGGCCATCCAGGGAGTGTGAGGGTCTGGTCTGCCTGGTCTGGGTTTTAGCTGCAGGTAGTACAGGCTGCCTCCTCCTTGCTCTCTCTGGGAGATGTTTTATGGCTTCTTCACCTTCCCTTCTCCTCCTCCTCCTGGGAGCTGCTGCACCTATGCAGGGCTCCTCCTTGCAGAAGGGTCTTCCCATACCAGAAGCCTTTTAGGGGAGAGGACCTAGTCCTTTCAATGATGTGGGGAGGTGATTTTGAGACCCCAACATCTGGTGCATTGGCCACAAACTTGAAAAAGAGACAAGGAATTGCATTTTGCCAAGCAAAATACACCTGAAGTATTTGGGTCAACCACTAAGACCAAGAAGTTTGGCTTTGATCTTTGGTGGTTCTTTCTGAAGTGAGTCCATGTGTGTTTTGACGGTGGAGGTTTGTAAAGGATTATCTGGCTTTATAGACAGCTTTTTATAGTGGGCCGTTGACGTTTAACTGCTGCGGCTTGGGCAAGAAGCTTTGAACCTTAACCTTGGTGGGGATCTAGAGCTTTTGATTAATTCTGGGAAAGTGGGTATTTCTCCAGATTGAAGGCCTCAAGAAACATAGGAGCTTGCTTGGGCCTCAGGGACAGCACAAGGCCCTCTGAACCTGACAAAAGCCCAAGAACCAGTAGCAGAGCACTGCCAACCAAATGATGCTTTGGTAATCTTGTCTATGCTTTTAAACTTGCCAGAATTATGGGAAATTGGACACCCCTGAGGCTGGTATAGAGCTAAGACATTGTCTGAGGCCTGACAGAACCATGAAAATCCAATGGAAAGCAGCTGCCAAGGAACCCCAACGCCATCCAGGCACTGGGATGTCCTCTGAGTGAGGCAGGAGATAAACTTAGGACTTAAATTTCATTGAATTTTTAATTCATAAGAACAAGATAGATTGCTTTTTGGATGTTACCTTGCAGACTGATATAACTTTTTGGATTTTAAAATCTTCCTTGGGAATATTATAGTTGAGGAATCTCAATAATGTCCTTCTATCATAAGAATGTCTTAATATTATTTAATCTCACCACAGGAAGGAGGAAGCTGCAATTTGTCTAAGACAGTTGCATTTTGTCTTACAACAATTGAAATTAATGTACTATTCTATATTCTAGCACACTTCAGGACCTCTGGGAGGCACAGTTTATAAGCCCATTTCAAGGAGACCCTGACCCCCCCAGGAGGGGATTGTTCTGGGGCAACTCATGCAGACAGACACAACTATTTGGGCATGTGGCTGCTCTCCTCCTACCAGGGACAGTCATCCTTCATGTGACTGTAGGTTGAAGTGCTAAACCCAGTGGGAAATAAATAAGTGGTGGTGGGGACAGGAAGGGTTTCTTTGCCCTGGCTGACATTCCCTTCCTCGTGGAGAGAACTCAGTAGATGTAGAACTCTTTTTGATTTTCTGCCATATATTTCTTCAACCAGGGAGGTGAAAGGACCTTCCTGTTGGCAGATTTGGGAAGGATAAGAGGGCACACTTGGTTGTACAACTCTCCTTTACAGGGTGGGCTGGGCTATTTGATTAGGTCTGCTTGGTGACCAGAGAGCACCTCGGTCTAATGCTGGAGTTCAATTCAGGGAGCACACCTCCCCGTGGATATAAAACAAATCTTGCCATGTACACTATGTCAGTAATGAGGGCAATGGTTTGGTCCCATCTATCTTACTAATCTGACTTCTTTCTCAAATAGTTTAATGGTCACAAAGGAAGGGAAGAAGATGATATTTATTGGGCTCCCTCAGAGACCCCATCCCCAGTGACCCCAACGTGGGGCCTTGGAGGCCCATGACATGGCATCTGTCCCCATTGTTCCTCTGTGAAGCACATCCCTAGCATGCCCTCAGCCTACCTCCAACCTGCTCCAATTCCTCCATCAGGTCCCCTGCTGCTCCGCCTCCTGCAGGACACTCCCCAGGTGCCCCCTCTGCCAGCCCTGGTGCGCTCTCCTCATTCTCACAGGCCTCCTTCTCCAGCTCAGGGCGGGTGCAATTCCTTGTCCACCAGGTCAGACGAACAAGCTGGAGGGAAAGGATATGCCATCAGGAGTCAGTGCCTTTGGAGGGAAGTCCAGCTGCAGAGAAAGAGGCCCCATTCATGGGAGGCCCTCAGAGGAACAAGGCCAGGACTGAGGGTCAGGAGCCTGGTTTAGCCCTGGCTGCCCCTTTAGATCTAAGCACAGACCTCCAGCAGGTCTGTGCTGGGTGCAGGCAGACAGACCAGAATCAGACATGGACCTGGCCTCATGGAACTCACAGACTGAGAGAAACCAGGCTGGACAGGGAGGCAGGAGCCTGATTACAAAAGGCTTCAAAGGTCAGGCTGAGGAGTTGATATTTAATAAACAGCAGCCTCAGCTCCTTGTAGGGCATGTGAAAGTTCTGAGATTTTTAAAGATCTCTTGGAGTAAATTGAAGGGGTCCAACCTAGAAGCTGTTCCAAAAGTGAAACAAGAAATCTTGTTTTCCTGTGGTATTGGATAGGAGGGAGCGGTCCTAAGGGATGTTAGGGAGGTAAATTCTTCAGGATGTGGTGACCTATTGAAGGAGTCAGATGAGGGAGAGAGGGGGGAGCTGCCTTGGGCCTGTGGGTTCCTGCCTTGGATGATCAAATGGGTCTTATTCCTCCTCAGGGATAAAGGACACAGGACAGGATCAAATTTTCATGCTGGTGAGAGATGTGGGGGGGAGAGAGAGAAAGGGGGAGTGCACACATAAATATGAAGCTGAGCTTGAAGAATATGTAGAACTTCCAGGAGGAGAAGTTCAGTGAGGAGAAAAAACCCTTATGTCCCCTGGATGGCCCTGGTGGTGTTCCTTTTTCTCCCTCTTCAGTGGCCCAGCAGACATGCACAGCAGGTTATCTGGCTGACACCAGTGGTGTTGGACCCCTACGTTCAGAACCACCTCCTTTCCAACCAGGCTCTTCCCCTGTGGGGAGCTCTGTTTGCTTGTTGATCCATTTATTCCTGCTGAGCTCCCAGCTTCCTCCTTCCCTTGCCCATCCAGCTGCACCAGGCCCCCAGGTGCCTCTCTATGGGATCATGGGAGCCTGGGCAGCTTCTTTGTCCACATCTCATAATAAACCTTACTTACACTGTGTGTCACTAGGAGCATGTAAATGAAGACACTTTATGTCACCAGGAACCAGTTGAGTGTGGGGGTTTGAACCTTGGGAGAAGGGTTTTGGCTTGGAGATAGAGAACTGAAATGTAGAAAGTGGTTGATTTCATAACCCAGGGATATCACTGAGTGAAAATTCTATTGTAGGCCACAAATGGGTTCCTAAGGAAAAATAATGGTTATGGGCAGAAAGAAAAGCCCATGAAGAAGTACAAAAGTGATCAGAAGGGAGGGGATAAAAAAAAAGAAGAAAAACCAGGAGGAAAGAGAGGGAGGGAGAAATACCTGTAGGATCCAGGAGAGATTCTCAATGGGGAAGGACTTGAGCATGAAGAGCACAAAGGCAAACAAAGGAGAAGACTCAGTGACAGGTGGCTTCTGGAGGGAGCTCAGGAGGAGTCCATCTCTAAGGCTCATCTGTGAGATCCCACTTGTTTGTAAGGCTCATAGGAACCAACAGTGTGAAGTTGCCATGCAAACTCTAAAGCACCATACCGGCCTGGCGTATGGTGGCACATGCCTGTAATCTTAGTGACTCAGGGACTGAGGCAGGAGAATCTCAAGTTTTAGGCCAGCTTCAGTAACTTAGGTCCTGAGAAACTTAGCAAGACCCTCAAAATAAAATTTAAAACTGACCTATGTAGTAGTGCAGGGGTAGACCACTCCTGGATTCAATTCCCCGTACCACACACAAAAAAATCAGTGAATCACCTTACAGGTGATTGTGTCAGTTGTGATTTCCACCCAGTATCTCAGGTACCAAATTCTGGCATGGGCTCTGTCATTAGTTGAAAATTCATATGTTAAAGTCTGAACCCGTATTTCATAATATGACCACTGCTAACATAATTTATTAGTTTTTCATTGCTATGGTAAGTACCTAAAAAAAAAAGACAGTTTGGAGGAGGAAAGATTTATCTGGGCTCATTGTTTCAGAGGTTTCAATCCTTACTTGGCTGGATCCATGATACAACATCATGGCAGAAGTGTATAATGGAGGAAAGTGCTCAGCTCACGGCAGCCAGAAAGGAGAGAGGGACAGCAGGTGGGGGGAGGAGCCAGGGATAAGATATTGGCCCCAAGGCATGGTCTCAAGGACCTACTTCCTCCAACCATGCCTCACCTGCCTACTGTTTTCACCACCTCCAATCAGCTGTCACTGGACTGATACCCTGGTGAGGTCAGAGCCCTCATGATCCAATCACTTCCCACAAGCCCCACCTCTGAATACTGCTGCATCGGGGACCGAGCCTTCAACACATTATCTTTTCGGAAACACTTCAGATCCCAACCATAAAAACTGCACTTGGAGGTAGGGGCTTTAAAGAGGCAATTAAAGTAAAATGAGGTAATATGTGACTGGTGTTCTTAAACAAGGAGGAGGAAAAGTCACAGACAGTCTCAGGGATGACCATGTGAAGAAGGAAAAAGACCATCATCTACAAGCCATGAAGGGATTGCAAAAGAAACCAACTCTGCTGTCATCTTGGTCTCAGATTTCCCCTACAGAACCCTAGGAAAAATTCTGTTGTGTAAGCTACCCAGTCTGTGGTATTGGGGACAATAGCCTTAGCAAACTAGTACAGACTCTAGGGGGAAAAGGCCCCAAAGACTGGTCATCCAGGTTCCAGGACTGGCACATCAGTCAGCTTGGAAGAATTGAGGATTTTGAGTTGAGTTCTTAATTGGAAAGTTCTCTCTGTTCTCATGTACTTGTTTGTTGACCATTCAAAAAATTTCTACTCCTTTCAGTCCAACTCACAGTGACGGTGTCAGTGCACCCTGCCCTGATCCTGGTGGAGGCTGTCTCCCCTTCTGTGTATGGATCCTCCCATGGAGTCTGGTCCTTCTGTGCTTTGTCTTTATATAGTAGCAGTTTGTGGGCTTTTCTTTATGCCCATAACCATTAATCTCTATAACCCCAGCACAGTGCCTGGCACATAGAGTGTACTCACTGAGTAATTTTTGAATCGGACGAGTTACTTTTCTCTTGGAAATTCACAACCCTATGAGTTCCCCGCTCCCAAGGACATCTATATGACAGCAGGGGAGACCATAACCTAACAAGGTGAAAATTAGGACATTCCAGGTGATAGGGAAGCATTTCTGGGGGGCTCAGTATAAGCACAACACTTACCTTTTCCTCAGGGATGGGGGTTGTACAGAGGCTGATGGTGACAATAACAATGGCAGTGAGTCCACAGAGAAGAAGGGCAAAGTACAGGTAGTGGAAGTCCTTCAGCACGGCTGGCCTCCTGTCCACCTCACCACAGCCTGGGGCTGGATATGAGAACTCCAGGATCATGCGCAGAAGCCCCATTCCCAGGCCAAACATGAGGCCCCAGAAGGCTCCCTGTGGAGAGAGGGCAAGAGAGGGGGACCTCGGAACCTAAAAGCTGCTGTGTTTCTAAATCTCTCTCCCACTGGCTTGTTAGAGTGTTGGGCAAGTCCATTTTAGCAAGTTCCCCATTAATGCTGAGACTTTGTCCTGACTTAAAAGGCAGGCAGAGCAGTGTACGGAACAGGCTAGGGCCTTCAAAGCTGGACTACGATGTCAACTGGGGCTCCATGTTGAATGGCTCTGAACCAACGCCTCTACCTTGCTGGCTTGGAGTGTTCCTCTGTGCTCTATGAAAAGAGAAATTGGTAGGTTCTAAGTAATAGATGGCCAGTCATCAAATAGAATAGGATGCGCTTTTGTAATAGGCCAGGAACACTAGTATCCCCTTCCCAACTGACAATATGATAAATCAGAAATCAGAAGAGAGATTTCCTCCCTCCTTTTCTCTCTTTTTTTTTTTCCAAGAAAAACTCTGGTACCACTCATTTATTATAATTCCATTTGTCCCTAACCTGTACCTGTTCCAAGTATGAAAGAGTCAGATGATGTATGTTTTTAAAATGAGACATTAATCCTGACTTGAAAACTCTGGAATGAACAGACACACCCAGAATTTCAACTGGTCCTGCTGTGCACCACGGTTGTCAGCAAGGTGAGACCTTTGCCGACAGCAGAGGCCTTGCTTACACAGGCCACCTGGGGAGGGGTCTCTATGATCTCCTTCGCGGTGAACTTCAGCTCTCACGTTGGTCTTGGGGAGTCATGTCCATGATGTCCCATGGCACAGCCAGCAGAGTTGGGCCTGACTCTTCTAGGCTACCCCAGGGAGTACTCAAGGTTCTAATTCCAATACCTCTAGCTTCCCTCAACCACTGTCAGATTTTAGTGCAGTCACACACGTGATGTGCAGGCATGTCCAGAATGCTCATCCCCTCCCATTCATCCTTCAGTTCTCAACTCTGTCACCTCCTCCAGGAAGTCTTCCCTACCCTCCTCCCAGGAGTCCCATTGGTTATGAGCTTGTGCACTTCTGTCTCCCAACAGTCATTGTGCTTTATTATGTTTGCTTATGTACATCCTACAGCTGGCCTCCTGTCCACCTTGAGTTGAGTTCTTAATTGGAAAGTTCTCTCTGTTCTCATGTACTTGTTTGTTGACCATTCAAAAAATCTCTACTCCTTTCAGTCCAACTCACAGTGACGGTGTCAGTGCACCCTGCCCTGATCCTGGTGGAGGCTGCCTCCCCTTCTGTGTGTGGATCCTTCCATGGATTCTGGTCCTTCTGTGCTTTGTCTTTATATAGTAGCAGTTTGTGGTGGCATCTCTTCCTTTTGTGGACAATTGCTAGCAGGGAGCATTAATCTCTATAACCTCTGTGAAATGGCCCCGTGAGGACAGACCTCTGTGAACCTTGTAAACCACAGCATCTCTGGAACTGTCATAACCAGATTGATAACTGTGGAGTGGACAAATGAATCTAGACCTGGAGCTATGTTCAGAGACATGGAAACCTAGAAGGCCCATGTGTTTGTCCAAGGTCCCAGAAACTAGCAGATTGACAGACAGGACTCTAGACCCTCTGCTGTACAGGGAGAGAGAGGAGGACTGCACTCACAGGCTCTGTGACCCTCTTGCAGAAGATGGCCAGCAGGAAGAGAGCAGTGATGGGTGGAGCCAGGTAGCTGGTAACAGCCTGGATGTAGTCAAAGAGCTGCCCACTGTTGGAGCTCTGGATGATGGGGATCCAGAGGATGCTGATGACAACCAGGAACACCACAAACAGCCTGCAGGGAGAGCACAGGTTGCTGTGAGGCACACTCATGTGGGCGTGACCTGCAGCAGGTGAAGGTGATGCACAGACACCAGGACGGGAGAAGAGAGGGGATCAGAGGAGGTTAGGTCAGAATCTCAAATACTAAGATGCAGGAATTTAGACTGAAAATTCCTTAAATCAGAGTTTCAGAATCCAAGAGACTCAGATTTGTAAAAATCTCAGCACTTGCATATTGGATGTCTTTTATTTTTAAATTTATTTTTGACACTTGGGATTGAACCCTGGGGCACTTTACCACTAAGGTGTACCCCCAGCCATTTTTGTTTTGAGACATGGTCTCGCTAAGTTGCTGAGGCTGAGCTTGAACTTGCAATCCTCCTCCCTCAGCCTCCTGAGTCATTAGGACTATAGGCATGTGCCATTGGTGCCTGGCTTGATGCCTTGTAGGTCATGTCATTCACCCACTGTTTAAGGAATACTTCATGCCTTCTACCCACCACCTACCTCAGTCAAAGGCCTCTGGGCTCTGTTTAGCACACCTTTCCTGCTCTTTGCATTCCAGCCCCTGTGCAGAATAGCTCCCTTCTCCAGGATGGCTTCAGCCTCCAAGAACTTCTCCCTTCTTCAGACTTCTTCAACTCTAACCTCACTCTCTCCTTTACATTGGCACTAAGATTAAGGCAAGAACTCCACCTTTTTCTCTTTCTCCTGACTCCCCCTTGACAAATTCTCACTCAGTCCTAAGTCCCCAAAGCATTCTTTTTTGTGGAGGACAGTACCAGGATTGAACTCAGGGACACTCAACCACTGAGCCACATCCCCAGCCCTATTTTGTATTTTATTTAGAGACAGGGTCTCACTGAGTTGCTTAGCACCTCGCTTTTTTTGAGGCTGGCTTTGAACTCTTGACCCTCCTGCCTCAGCCTCCCAATAAGCTGGGATTACAGGCGTGTGCCGCTGTGCTTGGCCCCAAAGCGTTCTTGATGAATAATTTTGTAGATGTGCAAACAAGTTGAAAAAACATTTTTTTGGATGTACTGGATGTAATAATACAGATGACCAGGAGATGGTGCCCACATTCCACTGATGAATTAAATAAATTTCAGCAAAACTAGGCAGTTGGTGGGCAAAAGATAAAAGGACACTTGTGGAAGGTCTCTGAGCACATATGGTCCTCTTTCCTTTTCCTCCCATTTTCCCTCTCTCAGGCCCCACTAGAGCACTGGCTACCAGAGTGGCCTCCCTGTTGCTTATGCCCTTCCTCTGCCCTACCCTCAGATCCGGCAATGATTATTTCCTGTGCTAGGGCCAGAACTCCATTGGGCAGAAGGCATCCAGGTGGAAAGAACAGGGAGTCAAAGGCAGGAGCGAGATGTCAAAGCCTATGTGCCTACCCACCAAAGAGGGGAACACCCTTTACTCCAGAAGTCCTGGTTGGGGAACCTTAAATTTTGAAGCAGAGATTTCAAAAAAGGACCCTTAACCCTATACAAAACTATAAATCCCCATCCTATTAAGAACTAGATAAAATCATCCACCAAGTTATGCCTTTAAAAGCACAAACTGATTCCAACAAGATAAGTTCAAATTCTCTAGCATGCTATTCAAGGCTCCGCATCACGTGGAGACAACTTTCCTATGAACAACTTTCCCTTGATGCAGGTATCTCACTCTGTTATCTGTGTTTCTGTCCATCTCATTAAACTGTGGGCACCCTGAAGCCAGGGCCACATGACTCATCCTAGTGTGGATAAGACACCTGGCGGTGTTCGGGGTGAGACTGATGATTAGATTCACAGTATTCCTATTACCTGGAGATGAGAGCCAGAGTTGGTCTGAAAGACCCCAGAGGGTGAGCTGCTTGCTGAACTTCCTCCCACTTACACAGTTTGCTTTTCCTTTCGCAAGTGCTCTGTCATCCTCTCTCAAGTACCCTGTTGATCCATTCCAAGAGAAAGTCTAAATGCGAAAGTCTCCATTATTCTGGAAGGGGAGGAGTGGTCTCGAGATGGAGGGGGACTTACCTGAGGTCCCATAGAAAGTCAGCCCTAGAATCTAGGGCTCTGGCTGCCTGTCCAGGGCCCAGACCCAGACAATCTCCTACAGAAAGGGGGTGCTCCGGGAGGATGAAAGGAAGGACCAGCGCACCTGCCCACCACCATCAGCTCCTGCTCGGTTGCCTTCCTACGGAAGCGCTGCCACACGTCGATGGTGAACAGGGTGCTGCTGCTGTTGAAGATGGAGGTGAGCGAGCTCATGAGGGCCGCCATGATCACGGCAATCATCAGGCCCCGCAGACCTGCGGAGAGATGAGCGGGAGTGGACAGCTGGCCGGTAAGGGCTCTGTCAGGACCATGGAGGCTGCAGCAGTGTCAGAGCCAGGAGTCTGGGGTGGGGAGGTGATAGGAAAGCCGTTGGTGAGGTTCCCATCTAGCACAGATATGGAATCAGGAGGCCCATGATGCCAGAGTCCCGGTTCTGGCCAGGCTCTGCTTCTGCAGGAGACTCATCTGCCCTCCCTGAGCCTTGGTCTCCTTATAAGGTGTGTGTAAGTCTTGGTGATCCTTAAGGTTCTCTGTAGCTTCGATGTCTCAGTCTGGGTTTCACAGCTGTAAACAGTTATCAGGTCCCTGTGAGTGGGGGCGGGGAAGGTGAATGTTTATAATTATTTGTTTGTTTATAGTGTTTTTACTTTTTTAAAAAAGTGTTTTCTATGACCATATTGTGGTGGTGGGCTAACTCCCAGCCTGGGAAGTAGAAGCCTGGGTTTGTTTCCTGACTCCACAAGTAACCAACTAAATGGATGCTCTTTGGACTACTCCCTCACTCTTTTGGGGCCCTTTACTTTTTTTTCCCCACTTGAACAAAGAGAGGGTCACCTATTGACCCTCTGATAAGCTTCTGGACTGCTTATCTCTTGAGGAAATGAATTCCCAGCCCTGGTCCCACCTCAGGACTCTTTACCTCAAAGTCCATGTATTTAATCACGTTCTGTAAGACTCACAGGTGCCTTTGACTCAAGGTTCCAAACTCTGGGCCTCTGCTTTCCTCTTGGGCAATAAGAGTTCTCCCACGAGACACCTCTGCTCCGTTTGCTCCCTCTCCATCCATCAGTCCCTCCTTGGCTGCTGTCACCTAGCTGGGCCTCCCACCACCTCCGCTATTTTTTTACTTCTCGTTTTACCAGAGGGAGGGAATAACTACACATCGATTGCCTTCCAGGTCCTCAGTCGCACTGTCATTATTAATCCACTTTCTAAAGACAAGACCTGGGAGTCCTCTTTGATTCCTCTTTCTTATTCCTGAAATACATCAAGTCCTGCCGATTCTACCTCACCAATGTCTTTAAATGGCTTCTCTCTATCTCCAAAACCTCTGCTTTGGTTAAGTAATTGGTGCTACTTACCTGGATCACCGAAGACACCTCACTGACATCTCCCTGCCTCCCCAGAGCCTGTCTCCATACTGAATCCTCCACAGAGAGTGGACCTTCTAAAGCACAAATCCAGCCACCCATACTCTGGTCTACAGTCCCCTCCGTTGCCTTCAGAGAAAAGGACAGGCTGCAGAGCTCACCTGGCCATGCCATTTCTCCCTGGTGAGTCCACGCTGGGCTCCTTTTGGTTCAGACCACGCTCTCTCTCCTCCCGCTGGGCATTTGCATGAGCAATCTCTTCTCCCTACAACATTTGTCACATCTCCCCACCTTTGCCTGAGGTAGTCCTTGGAGTTCAACTCCATTTTCTTCCCTGGGGAGTCCTTCCTGACACTCCCCCAAGGCTGGGTCTATGGCTCTTTAGGGTTCCCTTTGTCCCACTGGGTTGCCACACTGGTGACCTTGTACTGTACCCTGGTGAGTCCAAGTAACCTGGAGACTGCATAAAGCCTGAGAGCAGAGACCTGCCTTTCTTTTATCTCTTCATTCCAATACCAGGGCACAGGGCAGGTGTGTTACAGATATTTGTGGAAGTGTGTGTATGCATGTGTGTGTGTGTGTGTGTGTATTAGAGAATGGGGTGCAGAGGTGGATCTTCTTTTCCCTCTTCCCATCCATTTGAAGGGCAATTCCTCCTGGGCAGTTGCTGGCAGCAGAGATTGGAGGAGGCACACAAGTTGGGATGGAGAGCAGGGAGACAGGACTCACCAATGGGCATGAGACCCATGACCAGCTTGGGGTAGGCGATATTGGAACATCCGACTCGGGCCCCACAGACTCTTTGGCAGACGTCAGGGTCCACGCAGCCCACCTCATCTGAAGAAGAAGGAATGGCAGTTGGAGTTGTGGGGTCTTGTGCCTCACAAGGTCAGCCCACTGTTTGCTTTACGACACTATAAGAAAGTGTTCACTGGAAACTCTGACCTTGTCTAGAAGGTAAGGGGCAAGTGATGTCTGGTTTCTTGAAAATTTCTTGCCCAGATACAACATTGCAATCCTTTGGATTTTAGGTCTTACATCTTGATGAAGGCAATATCCCTGGAAGGGGCCAAGAATGCCTTATTGGTTTTCATTCCCATAAAGGGAAAACAGGATATAAAAATGGCATTCAGATACAAATTTCATCTGCTGAAGTACTTATTACATGTTTGGCCCACAAAACCTAAAATGCTTACTCTGCAATCTGAGTAGAAAATGCTTTCTAATTCTTGTTCTGGCCCCACCTTACCTAGGAGCACCTTCTCTGAAAACCCCTTGCAAATTGCATCCCAAAGCCCCCAAAGCAGCACTAGCTCTTACCTGGGTACAGGGCCCGGCTGATCATGCCAGGCATGACAATGAAGAACATAGGGAGGATCTTCAGGTAGCCCCCCAGCACGGAGCCTCCCTTGGCATGGGACAGATTCTTGGCAGATAGAGACCTCTGCACAATGACCTGAAATGGCAGCAATGGGGGTGAGTTGCTCACAATGGGGAGGGGCTCAGCTCAGCCACAGGTGAGCCCTGACACTGGTCACTGCCTGTGCTCTGACTCCTCAGTCCCAGAATGAGGTCCAGATCTCTATGCATCCAGGCACCTGGTTTTTCTGCAGGAATCCATCCCAATCCCTGATGGGCCAGGCTGAGCCCTGTGGGGACCCTTACCTGGTCTGTGCACCAACACCAGGTGGCCAGCACTGTGAGCCCAAAAATGAGACCTGGCCATGGGATGTCTCCACTCACAGGGTCCCGAAGCATGTGGAAGGCATCGGGCCTTGGGAGGTGACAGGTGGTATTGGGAACTGTGACATTGGGGATGGCCTCCATGTACCGCTGCTGTAGGCCTGGGTACCAGCCCACCTCCTGAAAACCTGAGGGGAGAGACACAGTGAGAGAAATAGTCCTGAGCCCCCATTAAGCTTGTGCTTGCAGCTCCCAGATCTATAACATACGTTAAGGCTGCCTTGGGTATGCCACCTACCAGTTCAGCACACGGGGGCACCCTCAACCTTCATTGCACAATGAAGATGAGCCTGGGTTGGAACTAACATGAGGATTGGAAGCAGGAAGGGAGATGGGGTTTCAGGCTCAAGATTCCTGGTTTGGAGTAGAGAGAATCCTGCTTTTTTGAGAGCTCGGGATTAGCAAGGGGACATGGGTCCATGCTCTGGAAAGTTCTAAGCAAGGTGTACTAATGACAAAGACAGATCAGAGAAAAATATAAGGATGAAGATAGGATGTATTGGGACCTCTTCCTTACCCAGAAACATAAGGGCCAGGGCTCCCCCAACCATGATCACTGTCTGCAGAGCATCCGTGTAGATCACTGCTGTGAGGCCCCCTGGGGACCAAGGAGAAGCCTCATTAGTCAGCACCAACAGGGGGATCTTCTCTAAGTGCCTTGCCTGTGCTTGGCCATGCTGGGAAGACCCAAGAAGATACAGACCCTGTGGACAGTGGACTCTGGCCACCTGCCTTTCCCTGCACCTAAAGCTCCCCTCCATCCCACCCTGGGAGGATGGAGGCTGGTCACAGGCCCATGTGTTTATGTGGAGTTTTGCTGCACCTGGTTGTGTCTGACTGTGGCCAGGACGCCATAGCTTCCTTTACTATTGCTGTTATATCCATTCCATTCCTCATTGTGCTGTTAGCTCTTCCAGGAATGCATTCTTTCCCTCCCAACTCCCATCCCAATGCCTCCTGTCTTTCAAGGCAAACTTAGCCATAAGTCAGTTTGTCCTATGCAGTGTCCCAGGGTGCACAGCCATGTGTGAGATGCTTTGGGGGAAACAGGAGAGGGGGGACAGATCATGGTGACTCTGGTCCAGCAAGAGTTCCTTCGTCTGTACCCTGCTTCCTGACAGAGGCGGTCTTTTCAGTCTTATCATCTCTCCTGGGCGATCTGCCTGGCTCTGTTTCCCTATTTCTTTCCCTTTCAGCCCCTCTTCCTGTATTCCACTGTGTGACTCAGTCTGTTCCTCTGGGTTTTCCTCTTATCCCACATCTCTGTCTCAGCCCCTTTTTGTCTCTGTCTCTTCCTCTTTTTCATTCTCTCAGGATCGATTTTCTATGTCCTCTGTCCCTCTCTTTCTCTCTGTGTCTCTCAGTCTCTGCACACTCATAGGACCTCTCTGCCCTACCTGCAATGGTGTAGACAGCTGTCACCACCAGCAGAATCACCGTGGAGAGATAGAGGTTCCAACCCATGGCAATCTGGATGAAGAGGGCTCCAGAGAAGATGTCAGTCTGTAGAGAACCAGGACCACAAGTCAAAGCCACCTGAGTCCCTCATTATAGCCACTGTGTGTATGTCACCTACCAGTTCAGCACATGAGGCACCCTCAACCTTCACTGCACAATGAAGGTGAGCCTGAAGCTCACAGCAAGGAGTATGGCTTGATCTTGTGGATACTGGGAATTGTGGAGATTTTAAAGCAAAGGAGTTCTGCGTAAAGCCTTGCAACTAAGAAAATTTTAATTGGCTGATAGACTGATCTGCTGGCCATGAAGGGAATGGTAAGGAATGAAGTGGAAATTGAGGAAGTGAGGGTGGGAGCTAGGGAAGGAGAAGGAGAGGATATTTAGGAGGAGACAGTAGGAACTTAGCAGGTTGCTGATGCTCCCTGATAGAACAGAGATGCTCGTGGCTGCTGGATGAACCCATATGTGACTCAGTGTGGCAGGAGCCCTAGTGCTGGTGGTCATGAGTTCTGGAAAACCTACGTGTTTGGGTTTATTGGAGGACTTGAGGGGAGCAGGCTGTGCCTAAGCTGGCAGGATTGGTGGAAGAGGGGCCTTAAGGAGTTTCAGCCCTGGACCTGGCAACTGAATGATTTATTTGCTGTTAGTCCAGGCTTGCTGACTACACCCCATGCCTTATGAGCCCATCATAGGTCTACACCATGGCAGAGTAGAAGGACCTGGACTGGGTCATGGGACTCAAACTTTAGCTCCACTTCCAGGATGACTGGCCTTCTGTGTTAACTTGGGTTCGTCATTTGACCTGTCTGGGTTTGTTTCCTGAGTTCTCATTCTAGGCAATTAATGAAGAGTTAATTTCTGAATGAAGAATCAGTTAATGAAAGGATAAATGAATGGATAAACTCTAGACTGTGAGTTCTTTGACAGTTGGGGCTGCCATTCACTGCAAACCTTTGTCATTCATCTCTTTATCTGGGGGAGCACATAGGTTATTTGGGTCCTTCCTTCCTTCTGTCTCTCCATTGTCATTCTTTCCTTTCTTCCTCCCATCCCTCCCTTCCTTCCATCCAGCCTGTGATTGCCGGTTCCCTCTCTGCATCAAGTCCACGGTACTGCATTCAGAAGTCCCTCAATCAGCAGTTTCAGGGTCAGGGTGGGCTCCTGAGTGGTACCCACCGATATCTTGGTGAAGATGTAGAGGATGAGAGACAAGACGGACATGTAAATCTGGATTCTCTGGCCCCCGAACCTTTTCTTCAGGTACTGAGGCATCGTGACCACACCGGCTGCGATGTACACGGGGACAAAGATCCAGCCGAGGGCCAGGAGCAGGCAGGTTGCCTGGGAGAGTGGGGAGAAGGTCCAGATGGTGAAGGAAGGTGGAGGGCAGCCTCCTACCCAGAGACAGCGTGTGCAGTGGGAGAGCCCTGAGCAGGGAGGGGAGGACCTGGGGCCCAAACCCAGCCCTTCCAGACCTCAGATGAGTCCCTCGGCCTCTTCCAGGTCTTGATTTCCTCATCTATAAAATGGGTTCTCAATTTACCATGCAACCTTCTAAGCACCTCTAAGGTTTCTCTCAGCCGTAAGGCCAGGGATGGAGGGAGTTTCAGACCCTCATTATCCTGGATCATCCAGGTCAGCTTCTTACATTCCACTCAAAGCCTCCCACAGCAAGGCCTCCAGCAGCCCCTGTCCCGGCCAGACCGATGAACAAGCCGCTTCCCACATTGCTGGACATCAGAGATGCTCCGATCTGCAAGGCACAGATGCATTCAAGGGTCAGGGCCAATTCAAAACAATCTGGCATCAGGACCATGAGCAGAGAGGAGGAGGTGTAAAGCTACATTTGTTGGGCACCACACGGGACACCTCTCATGTCCCTATACAGTTATCTCCACAATTACCTGGAGGGAGGGTTTTAATCTTCCCAGTTCACAGAAGAAAGAACTGAATCAGGAAAAATGAAGTCACTGGCTCCAGGTTGCCCAGTGAATATGTGGCAAAGTAGGAAAAAGGGAAGCCAAGGAAGTAGGCCCGTACAGGAAGGGCAACGCTCTGCCCTGGGGCCACCAGCCTAAGGATGTCCAGGGAGAAGGAGGCTGCAAAGGGCACAGAATCCCCCACAGGAGGTTGGGAGGCCTCCTGTTGACTCCAGGGCCAGGCCAGGCAGACAGAGGGGCCGAGATACTGAGCCCAGGCCAGGCCAGCCTCTGGATTGAGTTCCTCTTTCTCCAGGAGGACAGCCAGTTCCTCTAAGGCAGCAGAAGCCACAATAATGATACCGATGATGCCAATCATCAGAGCAGTTGGTGCTTGTTGGCGCTTCTATGTATACAGTCACTCATTTAATCCTCATGACAACCCAGTAACATGGTTACTATTATTACTAGGGTTCAAATAAATATCCCTCAGAGGTTAATGTGTCCCCAGCATGTGGCACTATTTGACAGTGGTGGAATCTTTAAGAAGCCTGGCTCAGTAAGGGGTCTTTGGTCATTGGGGATTGAAGGGAATGCCCTTGAAGGGAATTATGAGACCCTAATGTCCTCTTCTTTCTCTTTTGCTCCCTGGTCATGAGGTGGGTAATAATAAACCTTTTTTTTGATAAGTTATTTATTTCCAGTATTTGTTACAGTAACACATAACTAATTAACACAGTTATTACCCCCATTTTACTGATGAGGGAACTGAAGCACAGATAGGTAAGTTGCTCAAGTCCCAGAACTAATAATACATGACCAAATGAAGATTAAAATCCTGGCTTTCTGGCTCCTGTAACCATTAGACAAATGGTGCTTGACACCTAATAAACCTTTGTTCGATGTTATGTCTTATTATTGGATGGGATCCAGGACTGGGAGGGGCTGGGGGCAGAGGGAGGGCCTCTGAGGCCTGAGAAGAGGCCTGAGGAGACACTGGGGACAGGACTGGGAGCTGGAGGGAAGAGCTAGGCTCCAGTTTATACCCCATGTCACCTTAACAAAATTACTTTCTTTCATAAAACCTTGTCTTCTTCAGCTATAAAATCTGGACACTCACCTCTTCCCAACACTTGTTCCCAGGGGTGCTAGGAAAGGAAAAGGATTGAGAAATTCAGAGATGAGGTGGCAGAGCAGGGTAAAGGCATGGAGACAGACGTGTGGCCTGATGTTGCTGAGGCCCTTGTGCTGCCTCCACCCCAATATGTGTGCATGCAGTCACATGCACACACAGAGATGCACAAACACATATGTGCACACACTTGTATTCATACGCTCACACATGCACACTCAAGCCCACGTACATATGTGCACATACATATGTACTACAAACTTACATTAGCACACACACATATGAATATATTCAGGCTCACACATGCACACACCTTACAGACATGTGTCCACATCCTTACATGCACACTTACATATACACTTCACTTCGACACATATGATGTACTCACATGTATTTTCACACAATCACCCTCATGCACACACATGTGCATAACTCATGCACTCACACACACATACAAACATGCACACACGCACATGCATAGACCTATGTGCGCATCCACATGCACTCCCACACACTCATTCTCTCTCTCAGGTGGCCTGGGGTGTTGACAGGGCTGGGCTGGACCACCTAACCAGAGCAGAGAGCACTGGGCCCCCTGCTTCAGAGGAAGAGTGTCTCCCTTGAGTGGTGAAGCTTGTCCACCTCACCCCACTCAGGAGACCTGGGCAAGATCATGGGGAAGGCAAAGGGAGGAGGGCATTTGAGTTTCTAGAGGAGGGATGGCTGCTGCTCCTTCAGCTCCTAGCTTTCTAGCCATCTGCCTTTCCTGGAGCACAGTCTCAGGACCCGGTGGACAGCCAGACACACAGCTCCAGCAGTAGGAGACAGACCTTCCTGCCCTGAGGGGTGGTTGTGAGCCCATCCTCAAGCTGAACCCAGGTCTTGGTGCAGGAGGCACAATTCACAGCCCTGGGCAGCACATCCTCTTTTCTCCATGGGTTCCCACACAGTGTGGGGGGCATACAGGGACCCTGCTGCTCAGAGGCCTGGGGTTTCCTCATGTCCACAGAAGGACCCAGAGCTCTGCCCTCTGCAAGCAAATGGGCAGTCAGCCTGGGTTCCTAGGCCCTCTCCCGACCCTGTCAGAGGAGCCTGCTGTCCTGCTTTCGTCTTGGCCTGAATTCTTTCCAGGACTGTGATTAGGGGGCACTGACTGAGCAGAACCACTCCAAGGGCTTTTCCTTTCTCCTAATGTGGATGTGGCTGGCAGCTCCAGTGACCTGTTCCTGTCCCTGTGAGCTTCCAGGCCCTCTAATACCCCCACCGCCTGGGGAGTCTATCATACTAGACAGCTTGAGAAGTTCCTGCCTCTGATTCTTCCTGCCTCAGATACCCACGCCTACCAGAGAGCCCTGCACCCCCCTGGGTTTCCTCCACTCTCAGTGCTTAGTGGTGGGCAGGGAAAGTGGTGAGAACCGAGACAGGTGGGAAGGTGGCTGGGGCTGTGCGTGTGAGTCTGAGTGTGGAATTAGGAGACTGTGAATGTGTGAGCAGGGATAGGAGTGCATGTGTGAGAGTGAGTGTGACTGAGTGTGTGATTGTCAGTGTGTGAGTGTGAGGGTGTGAGTGTGAGGGTGTGAATGTGAGTGGGACATGCCTGGGTGTGTAGACGGCTTCTGTTTCCACCCAGCTGATGACTCTCCTGTTAGATTTCTGGGGCAGGGCTGACCTCCCTCCTTCCCATTCTTGGAGGAGGAAGTTAGTTCTGAGGACAGGTGGAAATGCTGGTGGGTTGATGGGAGAGATTGGGGATTTTGTGACGGTTTGGAGATTGATTTCTTGAGGTGGCTGGGATTTCTGCTGATTCTCCTCATTTGCCTGTTCTTTGCTATAAGCTGATGTGTCACCTCCCCCTCCCTCAGTTTTTTTCTACCTCTCCCTCTAGTCCATGCCACTGCCTGCAGCTCAGGGGCTTCCTCTGAGCTCTCAAAAGCCCTGGTGCCAAATCTAGGAGGTGTCCACGGGACACTTGTCCTAGGTAGCAAGGTCACTTGTTTGCTGGATGGATTGGAGTGGGAAGCTGTTCCCTTGGCCCAGGGAGAGAGGCAGAGAGGAGTCTGTGGTTGGTGGGAGAAGGAGGGAAGTTGAGCCTCCACATGGAGAGGGAAGGGAGAAAGGTCCACTCACCGGCCACCAGCTCATGGATCTTCCCGCCAGGAAGTAGCCCCCAATGGTCCCTCGGCTTGCACGGATGGACGACTGGAAAGGAAACAGCAAGAGACAAAGACTTCCTGCACTTCTCCCAGCCTCTGTCCTCCACCCAGGCACTGAGGGGATGTGGAGGGTGAGACGTGAGGCAGGGCAGAGCTGCCGGAGTGCTGGCAGATTTTGCCATTTTAAGTTGTGCATTTTGGGGAGAGCTGCTTCCTCTCTGTGAGCCTTGGCACCTTCTCCCAGATCTGGTGTGAAGAGCAAAGGAGGTAAAGGGTGTCCAAGGTCTTCATGAATGGCCAATGCTGTGCATGTGTGCCCATTGGTAATCAGTGTCCCCTTCCTTCCCTCCCCCCAGTGTCTTCCTTTAGGACATGGTTTGGAATCTCAGCCTCTGGTGCACAGTGACTGCCTCTCCTCTCCTCCCACCTGGTCTCCCACACCAGAGAGGGGCAGCCATTCCACCCAGTCTGACTGGGATTCTGGGCTTTCGTCAGGATGATGGGCTCTGTTTGGGGGATTCCCTTGGCCTGGCCTGAAGTCCATCGGGACCATGGTGGGAACCAGTAGGAGGCTAGCCTGTTTGGGGCCATGCTCTGAAGAATGAAGGGGAGAGAGGAGCGCAAGCCTGTTCTGGGGACCCTAGGCCAATACAGCGGGCAGAGAAGGGTGAACTCAAAGCATGTATTCCAAGGCAGAGGGCAGCAGTTCTCTGACTGGGTCTGAGATTCGAGAAATCCTTGAAGGTAAGAAGGAAAAGGGGAAAGAAATCAGTGACTAGAGGGCCTTGTGCTTGTTAAGCTTTTGCTTGGACATTCACTTCTGATCTTCCTGGAGGCCATAGGAGGGACACAAATTCATTTCACAGATGAGAAAATGCAGTGTTGGGCAGGAAACAGCTTGTCCAACCCATAGTAGGATTGGCACTTCTCCCTCTGGCCACCTCCCACAAGCCACTGAGCACCTGCCTGCTTACTTCTTCTTGCACCAGCTCTGGGAGGCAGGGACTATCACCTCCCCTTACAGGGGAGGGGACTGAAGCTCAGAAAGTGTTCCTGACCTCGATACAGCCCAGGCAGTGATTAAATGGGACTTGGATCAGAGTCTGCCTGGCAGCTGTCTTAAGGTGCTGGCCTCTCTGCAGAGTGTTATGGTGACGTTAGCAGCCAGGCACCATGCCAGGTGCTTAGATGTGTCCTGTCACTGAATGATCACAACTTTCTACAGCATTGATCTTACTTTCCATGTTCACATTAGACAACCCAAGATCACAGAGGCTTCTATATTCCCAGGGTCATGTGACTCTGATTGCTAGAGTTGGGACCTGAGCTCAGGGCTTCCTGACATCAAAGCCAGGTCCTGTCCAGGGCCACGACTCCTGGGATCAATGGAGATCAGAGGGACCTTGAAATATGTTTGGTGCCCTTTAGAATACATGAGCCCCAGCTCTTTGACCCAGATATTAACAGGACTGAGAGAGGGCTGGCAGTCAGATTTTCTCCACCTTGAACGTCTTTGAGTTGGAGAAGGCAGGAGTGAGGCTCAGAGTGGTCAGAGATGTTGGGACCAAAAGTGTCAGATGCATACAGATAGGGAGATGGACATAGGGGCTCCAGGCCTGGTCAGCCTCTGGCTCACTGAGTGACCTCTGGCAGGCCACAGTACTCTCTGGGCCTCAGTTCCCTCCTATGGAAGGTTAGGTGGGGGAGGACGATTCCTGAAGTCAGTTCCATCTCAGTTTCCTATGCTCTGTGATCTCCTTCCTTCTGCCCACCTCTGCCTCCAGCTCCCACCTCCCTTCCCAGGCCCTGGCCTCAGGCCCCACTTACCCAGATCCCCACAGCAGTGACGAAGACAAAGTAGGTGACCACCACCCCAATGTCGTAGGCATGCAGACTAACTTCAGGGCCCAGTGCTGAGCGTGGAGCTCTCTCCGTCCTGAGCAGGTTCCCTGAAGCTCCGGGCCCCATTGCTGCCAGCTCTTGCTCGTCTGCTACAATCAGTCCCCAGCTGGCTGGACTTTGAGGCGCTCCTGGATTAATTCCTTTCCTTTAATAATTAATCAGCCCCAGGCTCCATTAGCCTTGGAGAAAGCTCTGAAGCTGGCACATAAATTACTCCCAACTGCCCCTCATCCCTGTAGGACTCCTGCCCCCCCCTTTCCCTGTTGCCCCTGCAGATGCACACACAGGCACACACACACACATGCACATACACCCTCACTACCCTCAGAGGGGCAGGAGCAGGAGCAGGAGGGGAAAGGAGCAGAGTCACAAATCCCAAGAGCTTGAAGGGACTTCAGAAATCAAGGTGTTCAAGCTCCCGCTCTGTGGAGGGGAAACTGAGGCCTGGGGAGGTAAAGCCAGAGCTGGGACTGGAATCCAGCTTTCTAAATCATCTATTCGATGCGAGTTTCCTTCACCCATTGGGAAGGAAATGAGGGAAGAGAAAAGAAGCTGCCACCAAGACCCTTGCAAGGCAGCCACCACCTCATGAGCTCCCACGTGTAACCCATGGGGATGTTGTGTTCCCTTTCCTACTCTATAGGACACTGAGCCCTAGGAAGAGACAAGGGTTATTCTAAGGAACAGAGCAGGACCTTCTGTGCAAGGCAGGACCAGAGTTCACATCTTCTGATGCCAGGTCCACACCCTTCTCCTGTGCTGTGACAGATGGAATGGGTGGGTCTTCCCTGAAGAGGACATAGAATTCCCCGGGCTCAGGGAAGACCAGCTTTGTGTACTCAGGGAGCCCGCCTTTTAGTCCCAGCTGCACCTCTCACCAAATGCAGATCACGTTGGGCAAATTGCTGAACGTCTCCGAGCCTGGGTGTCCTCATTAATATGACTGTGCCTTGCCTGGCTTGCAATGCCAATGAGGTTAGGATGCGCTTCTGAGACCCTCTGTAAACCTGAGCTACTGCCTGTTCTTGGGGTTAATATGAAGAAACTAAGGAGGCCATAGCCTTGGCACAAGGCATGCTCGTTTACCTGGTCCTTCCAAAACAGCTGCATTTTGGGACACTTCAGTCTAGTATCCTCTTATATGCACCTGCTACATACACAGGCCAGGGGCTCAGGTTGGAGCAGGTAAAGGATCCCTGCTGGCCCTGAACCTATGGCACCCCCAGCATCCCATGACAATCCCAGGGCTGGGTGTAGGAGCCCTTTCCTTTTCTGAGATAAGGAAAGTGAGAGGTAGCCCCCAACCAGAACTTTAGGCATAGGTCACACCGTACTCCAAGAAGTGGGGCATTGATCTAGGAAGAAGGTTAGGTTATTTCATATCTGGGACAGGGTCAGAAGAATTCATAACCATTAGATGCCAGAAGCGTAGCTCAAAGTGTTTGCAGAGTAAATGTCTTTCACATCTGATGATGAATAAGAGTTTATCAGATAAATGAGAGGAGCAAGGGGGACAGGAGAAGAGTTAGCAACATCAGGAAAATGTGAGGGGCCAGATGTCAGAGAGGATTGGTCAGACAGCCCCTGGCAGTGAGCTGAGTGGAGGAGCAGAGGGAGATGAGGCTGGAAGGGCCTTGGGTGTTAATCAGGGAAGGGAGAAAGACAGGACTGAGCTCAGGTCACTGAAGGTACCACAGTGAAGGCTCCCAGGAAGAGAGAAGAGAAGAGAAGGGAAGAGGAGAATAGCAGAAGATTGCTGAGTCTGCACTTCCTCCTGCCTTCCTCACCAGGAAGGGCTCACCTTGACCCCAAGGACTGTACTGCTGCCTACATGCCCCCTGTCCCCCACCACCTCATGGATCCTTGAGGCTGAGCCTCCGTCCCCACACATTTTGCCTAATTCTAAACCAGCAGATTTGGGCACACAGGAGTTGTGGCAGGGAAACTTGAAGAGTTTGGGAGCATCCCCCTCAGTTGTGAGGACCAGGGTCTGACTCCAACCTGAGACATGGAAATGGCAGGAGCTTCAGCTGTGGTGTGTCTGGGAGGTGCTGGTTTGGGATTGTACTGCAAACTGGGGTGGGCAAAGATTGTGTAAGAATTGTGAGTGTGTGTGTGTGTGTGTGTGTGTTATGACTAGATGGATGAAAAAGACTGGGGGATCTTCTTAGATCCTGTCCATAGGCCACTGTGATGGGGTAGGGCCTCCGCCTACACAATCTGAAAGTGAACACTGAATTCCAGAGGCTGTGGAAGAACTGGACTTGGTGCTTTGCCTGGGATACACTGTAGAGTTCTCCAGCTGAGGGATCCTGGGTACTCCCAGGAGTGTCCTCAGGAAAGAGTCAACCTTCTCCCTCCTCCAGTCCATGAGCCAGAGTCTTCTCAGAAGAGTCCTACTCCAGTCAAAACTTTCCTGCTCCCTAAAACCTCGCCCTCCTCCTCACACTGCAGCTCCTAGAGGTCAGAAGTTGGGCTTCACAAGAGCAGAGGAGGTAAATGGAAAACAGCAGGCCAGCAATATCTCCTTTTCCTGAGTCAGAGAGACCTGAAGGGCCTCTTTCTTTCTGCTGCCTGCATGTTCCCTGGTGTGCTGCCAATGCTCTTCTCCCCAAGAAGAATCTTGTGCAGTCCCTCTGACTGTACCTCTGACTGGCCTCCACCCTGGCAGGTGTCCATGGTTGGTTTGGGTTTTGAATTAAAATTTGCCCGACTCTAAAAGCTTCTCTATACCACTGTCCTGAGCCTTCCTCTAGGGAGCTAGAGTCTGGAAGGGGCGTCTCACCTGGTGGTGTAGGAATCAGCTCTGTGTTCCCTCTTCAGATGGGAGCTCTGAGCAGGTTGCAGAGGTGGCTGGGCTGGGGACAGGAGCCCCCCCCGTTTCTGGGCCCCAGTTCTAGAGACCTTGCCAGCCCCTGTCCTGCCACCCTAGCCTCACTCACCCCTCCTTCTCTGCCCTGGGACGCTGTTCTTTTCACATACCTGTGTTCAGCTCAGTTCAAATCCAAACACAGCTCCATGAAATTCTACTGTGTCTGTCCAGTCTACAACTCCAGGGGCATCACTCCCCAAGAATACAATGCCAGTGACACCCCAGCATTGATAAGGCAGTGCCTGTGCTCTCTCTCTGGGGTTAGACAGAGAAGCAAGACCAAAGAAGCCCCTGTGTAGTCAGGCTGGGTGCTTGATTCCAGAGGGAAGGAGGATTATGCAAAGGGGTAAAACAGAGAAAGAAGGCAACCCAGATCCAGGGGTGGAAAAAAGAGAAGAAAATAAGGGAGCTTTATAGACTCTGCTCTCAGAACACTTACCCCTGCCAGACCTGACTGACCCCTGTCGGCACAACCTGAACTGTACCAAACCTCTCAGTCTCAGCTCCAAGGATTATGCAGCTTTGGCCTGACCTCCCACAGCTGCCCTGACAGCTCAGGTAAGGCCCGGATGAGCCGTGGCTCCTCCCCCAGGTGAGAGGAGAGGGGAAAGCCCTGAAATCTCACTCCAGTCCACTGGGCCTTGGGTTCTGAGGGACAGTGTCTATTCCTCTGCAAAGTATGGCCCTGGAGGAAAGACAGCTTGCTCTGGGGTCAGCGTTACCCAGGCCCCAGGGGTCAGATGAGAAAGGAGACAAGGCTCAGAATGAGGTGCTGTCCCTGCTGCCACTGGCAACCTCACTCCCATACACCCGGGCAAACAGGTTTCTCAAGACAGGAGGAGGGCACAGACGTTCAACTGCAAGATGAAAAAATTCTGGAGCTCTGATGTACAATGGCAACTGTGCTTAATAATGCCATATTGTATTCTAGAAATCAGCCAAGAAAGCAGAGCTTGAGTGCTGTCACCACACACAGCAGGGTAACGAGGCAGGGATAGAGTGTTGATTGATGTAATCACTTGACAGTGCAAGATCTGTGTATCAAATCATCACATATTAAAGTATTTGATTTTCATTATTAAATATGTACTAATGAAGCTGGGAAAAAGTAAAATGAAATAACACACACAAAGACAGAAGGAGGTGGTGTCTGGTGGTAGACACACAGAAGCTTAGGGCGTTTGGGGATTGGGAAGGAGAGCTTGGCATTGGGCTACAGTTCATGCACAAATGTGATAGGCTCACATACACACACGCACGCACACACACACTTGTGCACATCCACCTGACACATGTATGAGACTTGTTATGGGTCACATGAACGAAAAGGACGGTGAAATTCTGTCCAGCAGGCTTCCTTGATAGGGGTGTTGCCTCGACTTACAGAATCCAGAGGCTGTGGAAGAACTGAGCTACTGACACATCAGGGACCTGGTGCTGAACTGGGTTACAGCTTGTGCACAAGCATGATGGGCTCTCTCTCTCTCTCACACACACACACGTATTTGCACGTACCTGGGTGTGAGACATGGAAAGGGCAGCAGTCTGTCTTGGGAGCTTGTCTGGGGAAGCTGTGGCCTAATGGTGAGTGCAGAGTTTACAGTCAGACAAGCCCAGGCACCTTGAGGCCCCTTTATTCTCCAGCAGGTGACGGAGACAGGGCACTTCACATTTCTGTCTCCACTTCCTCTCTTCTGTAAAATGCAGATGGAAGCTATCTCATAGGATGACGGAGGATGACATAAGGGTGGCTGAAAAAAGGTCATGCCACTTACACTGAGAGGAAAGGCTGCTTCCTGGGCTCCTGGCAGGGTTTGGGGATGGAGCACGACACCCCTGGCACGGCCTGGCCTGGCAGCTCAGTGAAGCAACTGAACGTGACTCCCACATGACTGGGACGAGTATTTATCTATGGAGCCAAAGTTCTTCATCTGTAAAATGACATGATAACAGGTACCTTGATCAGTTGGGAACATGCAATGAGATCATATGCATGGAACAGGTGTTGAAATGTCTTGCTTTGGGCTGAGGGCTGAAGGTTGAAAATAATATCAGAAGTGCCTATTCATTGGATTCTGGAGATAACACAGAACCTGAGGGGCCTGTGCCGTGGTGGCCATGGAGATGCACCCAACCCAGGTGATCTGCTGTCCTGGCCACCGTCCCTCAGGACTGAACACTGCATTCTCCCTGAAGCCAAACCTTCCCCAGCTGCTCCAGCCAGTGACTGAGAGTGACTGACATGTGTGACATGTGACCCATGCTTGGCTGCAGGACTCTTGGCTGGCTTGGCTGAGACTTCCTTAGAACAGAGCTGGAATCTGAGTCTCCTCCTACCCAATGCTCCCCCCTCCCCTCCATTTCCTCAGTCATTCCAGCTATTTTTCAACCACTCCCCCAGGTCTGCAAGAGATCCTCTGCCACAGCTTCTCAGAGGAGCTGTTTTGTTGGCATCCCTGTCATCTCACCTTTAACGTGGCCATTTGGGAGTCTGAGAGAGGCTGCTGCCTTGGGAAGAGCTGTTGGGGCGAGGTGGCAAACCTTTCCTTCCCCGCTCTGTCTGGGGAGGAGGTGGGCTCTTTCACCCTCATATCAAGTCAAGGGAGAAGAGATTTGAGGGGTTATGGCAGAGCTTTTTATGTGTCCCACGACCTAGTGATTTATAGGGGGAAGAGGCTCTAGCCTGCGGTCATTCTGAAAAGAGGGATTGATTCCCACAGGATGGAGGCTGGAAGGCCAGGCAGAGTCTGGAGCAAAGTCTGAAGATGGACCCCTGCTCTGAGCCAAGGGGATGAAAGGCCCCAGCATCCCCCTTTGCTCTCCCTCATCCTCTCTACCCAGGACCCCAGTGTCCTCTGACTGGCAGAGGGTTTCTGTCCTTCCTGCCTCCTCTGGCTGCTGTTGGCTGCCCTCCCTGAAGCCCAGGAGGTGAGCCACCTGATTGCTCATGGGTCCTGGGCTCCCCTCTCAGCACTGACATCACTGTCTGTCCCCACCCTATGCTGAGCTCTTCCAGGCAGCAGTGTCTCTGCTGGGTCCTTGTGACCTGAGATCCATTGAGCCGGATGCTTACCAATGTTTATAGCAGAACAATTTTTGAGGACACAGAGCAGGGAGAGATGGAAGGGTGCTGAGTGCTGGACATCAGATGTCTCCTCTGCAGACATCATTTCTGTGAGAAAGCAGAGCTCATTCCAGGTGGGAACAGCTGAGCCCAGGGGGCAGAAGGCAGCAGAGGTGCAGGGAAAACTGGTCTGGCCCAGGATCCCAAGGGGTAGGGATTGAGCCTCATTTCTGTCACCGGCACATTAGTGATGTTGGACAAGTCTCCGTGCCTTTGTGGACCCCATTTCCTCTTCTGTGAAATGAAGTGTTCTCAGCTGTTTCTACTGACCTGGAGTCTAGAATGCAGCAGACTAAGTTATCCCCAAGGCCCCATTTGTTCTTTGGGCGCAGAGGCTCATGCAGGAGTTAGGACACGGCATGAAAGGTCAAGTCCATGGGCTTTAAAGGCCATTTCCCTGGACCCATGCCCAGCCCCTGCATGCATCAGGGTGTGAGCTGTGCTGCTGACTTTCACTCCTCAGCCTTAGCTTCTCTGTATGTGAAGAGGGGACAGCATGACCTACCTGACAGGGTCACCTAGAGGTGTATAAACAGTGTGCAGTGCAGACCAGGGGGTTGCTCAGGAGTGTCCCACCCAAGAGCTCCTGCTCTTCTCCTTGCTCCTCTAGGTGGGTGAGACAGCTCCACGTAGCTCTGTGCCACACTTTTCCCTGGCACAGTGAAGCCACTCAATCCCAATAAATCTCATAGACCCAAGAGGCCTCAACTCATGTTGGGAGGTGGCTTCATGCCTGAGTCTCTACCACCCAAATTTGTCACCAGCCCTTTGGAAAGCAGAAACTGCAGCCTCCCCAACAAGGCTCTGGAGAGCTCTCCAAGGATTATCCAACCCTCACTGTGAAGAAAATAGACATGTAAACAATGTTGGTGGGGCTGCAAATTAATACAATCACTTTGGAAATCAGTATGGAGATTCCTCAAAAGCCTGAGAATGTAACCCCCACATGACCCAGCTATTCCTCTCCCTGGTATTTATCTAAAAGAACTAAAATCAGCATACTACAGCAATATTATGCTTACCAATGTTTATAGCAGCACAATTCACAATAGTCAATTTATGGAATCAGAATAGGTGTCTGTCAATGGACGAATAGGACACAGCTGAGTAGAACTCCCTTGTGTGCATATACTACATTTTCTTTAAGGAAGAATGAAATTATGGCATTTGCTGGCAAATGGATAAAACTTGAGAACTCTGCTAAGTGAAATAAGTCAGATTCAGAAAGTTAAAGGTCTAATGTTTTCTCTCATATGTGGAAGGTAGGCAGAAAAAAGGAATAATAATAAAAAAGTAAAAATTAAAAGAAATTTAAAAAGGGGAATCCATGAAAATAGAAGGGAGAACAGTGGAGTGAATGAGGATCAGGCAGGGAAATGGTAAGTATTGTGCAATGAAAGTGACCAAATTATGTTACGTTCATGAACAGATGTGTCACCATGAATCTCACTATTATGTATAATTATAATGCACCAATAAAATCCATTAAAAATAATAAACAGGGGACAAGTTCCCAGCTGCCTCTCAGGAGGAAATTAGCAAAGGAGGTTCAAGGAGGCAGGGATTACGCCCAGAGGCAGAGACGGGGATGTGGAGCTCCCTGCTCTGCCCCCATTCCCATCCCACCATGACCTCGCTCAGATTTTGTGTCATGTGACACTTATCCTTGCTTGGGCTTCCCCCATTGCAACCCCTTTCCTTTGTGCTATTGTGTTGTAACTGCTTGTCTCTTTCCCTTGCTAGTGGGGGACTCCTGGAAGGCAGGGGCTTTATCAGATTCCTTTCTGTCCCTAGTACCTGGCACAGGCCTGGCATTCAGTGACGTGCTGCTCATTATTTCTTATTATATAAAAGAGTGAATATCACATGGATTCCCACCATTGCCTTGAAAGCTTTTCATAAGTATAAAGCTATAAACCAAGTAAACTGTCATTAACAAAACCACATATATCAGCTGGGATTCAGGTTGGCTGTAATACTTGCCCACTTTATAAGTAACTTCAACAGCTTACTACAGTGACACAGCCACATCAATGTTAATAGCAGCTCAGTTCAGAATAAGCTATGGAACCAGCCTAAATGCCCTTCAACAGATGAATGAATAAAGAATATATGGTATCTATACACAAAGGAGTAATTCTCAGCCATAAAGAAGAACGAAATTATGACATTTGGTGGTAAATGGGTGCAACTGCCGACTATCATGCTCAGTGAAATAAGTCAGATTCAGAAAGTCAAAGGTCAAATGTTTTCTGTGATATGTGGAGGCTGATCCAAAACAAGGGCAAGTGGAGTGGGGAGAAAGAGAGAGAGAAAAGAAAAAAAAAGGTAGTGGAGAATTTCATCAAAATAGAGGAAAGATCAGTAGTAGAGGGGGAGGAAGCTGGG